GCTTGAATGATAGAGGCATGGCTAATGTATATAAATTTGTTATGCTGTTATGCATGACAATATTTCCACCAAACCAGATCATACCACGTGACAGTACTGTTCTTCTGTTCCTAGATCCATAGGGGCATGTCAGCAATTCATGACTCCTTCATATTTTACTTCTGTTTTTTGCGATTCAAAAACCTCTTCCAACGTATCTTCCATTGATCTCTAGGTCGAGATACGAGTCGTTTTCTCTCCCTTAAAACCCAGCGTACGTACCTCTAATTCAGCGATCGTCGGTTCTTCTGCAACGTGTCCTGACCATTACTTCTTTTGCTATTTCACTCAGACAGTGGCATTGCATGGCCTTATTTGTGTTCTTACCGATTTATACGTCTTCCTGTCTTTTCTTATTCTTATGAACACCTTTCTCTTTTCATATTGCGTTGCGCAGTCTATAGTTTATGAATAGTTCTCAGGCTTAGGGTCCACTTTTGATAGCCATAGGTTAGCACTAGAACCACACACTGGTCGAAGACCATCCGTGTCAAGTACTAAGGTAGTTTCTCAGAAAGAAACTTTGCGTCTTCCAGAAATGCTCTATGCCGTTTTTCTTCTCTTGATTTCACATAATCGGTTGCCCGTTGCAAAGTTACGTCTGACACAGATAGACGTAGTTTTCCACCTTTTTAAACCTCTGTTCATTGACTTCATTCTCGTTGCGTCAAGAGAATACTGACTTTTTAGCTTCTCTGTGCAGTTTAGAAATGAAGGTCGAGTTCGAAATTGTTTTAAGATGTCAGTACAAATGATTCGTATGACTTATATTTCACTCAGTATCAAGCGTCCCAGTCGAAAGCTTTTTGTTTGCTCTCGGAGATGCATTTTGTTGTACTTGCTTGCGGTTTTTCGTATGATTTACATTGCATGCTTGTCGTGTCTGTTCTTTTCCATTCACTTTATACCACTTGGTTAGTGACTGTGAAAATCTCATGCAGGTGAAGATTGATTAGATGTAATGTTACGTTAAGCCCTAAAAGTTTAAATGCCTTTAATTAAAGCTACACAGGGTGTGTGCGTTGACTTATTAAACTGACCTATTTTAACATGTAAAGTTTAGTTGTCTGAAGTTAATAAACGCTTTTAGTATCAGTCTTTGTGCCAGTGCCGCTAAAAGTAGCAACGTCATATCAGTGCACGATGTAATGTAATGTAACAGGAACAGTTTTACAGACGGCAATAATGAGCAGTGTGCTGTGTTTACCCTTGGCACAATCTAGTTAAGATAATAACCCTCAAGGCCAACAGTAATCTGCGTTATTCTTTTATTTATAACGAAAAATCTGTGCATACATCGCAGTGTTAGTATAGCGCATAACTCGTCCACTCACTTATCACCATGGCTTAATGCATGCGCATAGCTTCTAGTGGTGCTAAACACGTTATTGCTGTAGCCAGTAAAATGACTCGAGACAAAAATAACACAAAACGCGGTCCGCGTTAATCTTCTTAAACACCTGCGAGCGAAGAACGATGAAGTGCATCATAAAGTGCAGTGATTGAAAGATTAGGCCCTTTATAATAGTGGTTGATTGGGTTGGTTGTTTACTGTGCTTCCTAGAAGTCGAGGATTCAAATGCCACGCGCGCTGTAAATCTTTTTAGTAACGGCTAACTCCCTCTAGCAATGTGACGTGATAGCGCAGTCCATAGGAGGTCGGCTTCGAACTCCGGAGATGCTGAGTTCAGTTCCCATGGCTGACTATTTTTTGTCTTTATCACGAATTTCCTTGCGCAATTAATTTATCACCGATTTTGTTTCACAGCGGGCTTGCTAGGACAGTGGAGCGTTGGACTCGGAACAGAAAGGCCCTGCATTCAAATCCAAAGAAGGTAACAGAAAAATATGGGCTGTCTTCACATAACTGCTGTCGATTTTGAATCTGCCTTTTAAAATAGACATTCCTGACTGGAAGCATGCTAATGCATGAAGTTCAGTGCCCCCACCATTAACTTCATGAAAGCAAGGGTGCTAGAATTGGCCCCGTCATTTCAGTATAAAGAGTGGGACGATTTGACACGGGCCGTTTCAGAGCAGATCGATGTCGATATGCAGTCGAGTTTAAATCTACCTAATTATAATGTAGTCATCTCGGTCAACTGTCTTATCCAACTCACCGTGTTACATATCCGAAAGTTCTTCGTGAGCACAATGTGAAATTTTTGTCAGGTTACTGAATTTCTAAGATTTTTGTCGTGATTTTGACCGTCTGTCAGCAGATATTCATTATTTGCTTACCAATGAATATCTCTGTGAATACAATAGTACACTCTGTCAAATTATTCAGTTACAGCTTTGTTTTATAACGGTGGAATGAAGCGAGTTATGCCTGACTTGATGACCGTTGCAACTTATTATCACGTTGCTTATCAATGGAAAACTCAGAGAGCACAATATGAAACTTTAGTCAAATTTATGAATTTTCAATATTTCTTTTCATAGTATGATTCCATGTTATAACTGCACAGACTTTATAACTTTTTTATTCTTCCCAAAGTTGAGTTGGAACGAATATTTGCGATGCCAAATCATTTCACAAAATAAAATTGTAAATATCATCTAGTTTAAAGTCAAATTTTTCTGGAAGAACAACGGGATGGTATGTAAAGTAACTTTATTTATATGGTATGGTTTTATATGCAGTATATAACAGCACTGGTTTGACAGAAGTTTCATATTGTGCGCACGGAGAGTTTCTTATGTAACTTGGGAGGGGGGGTTGGATATTACAGTTGATCGAGATGACCACAGTTCAGTCATATATATTCGGACTCTTTCCTGAGGATTGCACGTTGACGACTATCGAAACGACCGCGCCAAATTGTCAGCGTAAGGTAGATCAACATTTCAGCTTTGACGAACTTCTTTTTTCCCTTCTGCAGGTAGTTCATCTCATTTTGCTTCGGGACAACCAGTCAAATGATAGGTTGAGCATAGTACCTTAGTGTGATTATTCTATTACCGACGAGATATACGACCATGCCGTCTGAAGAATGCGCCTTCCGGCTGCACTTCGCCTTGACTAATAAAAAAAATTAATTTATCGCGAAGTGTTTGTTTCAGTAAAGTGGAGTTTCCTTTAATTGCGTAAGAGATACGTTTAAATGATAGGAAGTCATGTCATGTGGTTGCAATTAAACGGAAAACGAAAGATCTCGCACAGAAGTTAAAATACTTTAAGCTCTCTCTCCAGAAGATTTGCAAGTAGGCGAGGATATGGGTTCTAAGTTTATCGTTCGCTGTTGAAGGGTGAAGCAGTTCTGTCGTTTGCTGTGTAGTTCGCACACTTCATTGCCTTGATTGCCGTACGTGCCTCCGGATGAAGTGCGCTGTCGCAGTTTTTGTCGCCAGGTTTACGATGTCTTTCTAAATCCTAGATAAGGACTGATTCGTCGCATCGGTGTTGTATGCTTTATCACTAAAGGATTTGAAGAGCACGAATCTGCATGACAAACAGTCGTCTCTTTTCATGATGATGGTGACTCAACTGAAGTTGCGCTTCGCATCAACCGTTTTTACGGCTACAAAGCACTTCGCAGATGTCGTTAGTGGTTAATTGAAGTACAGTTACGACGCGTGGGCGGATTTCTTTCGTGGTTGTAGTACCTGTGCATCTCTTATCCATGGTACGAGCTGCCATAACTTGCTACTTTTGTGACCGACGTTGGTCAGTACTACAGCTGAAAGTGAATACTACTTTGTGGGAAGGAAGGGACTCACAAATAACCCACAATCGTCAACATGTCAAGAACCAACATTCCAACAATTACAGACTTTCCTTCTGTTTTTACTTCCAGCCTGCGTCAATCCTGTCGTACCATGTTTACTTTTTTAAGGCTTATATTTTGTCCCGATCTGCTGTTTTCTCCTAGTACCATTGAAAACGTGGTAAATTCGAATTACAAACCCGGTGTCTCTCGCGTTTGATCCTTTCGATGTAGGTGAACGACTACCAGTTTGTGGAAACGGATCTTAAGACTGTCGGTTGTCTAGTGTATTCCACTCACGAGAAAATTCTTCTTCTTGGATCAGCCTGCCCTTGGCTGAATGCATCACAACCGCTAGCAGCGCCTCATTATGAGCTACTTAGTAAAAGAACACCACAAATGACCCCATTGTAAAAAAATAACAGCCATTTTTAGTTATTTCGTAGAATCAAAGAAGAGTTTGAGATCTACCGTACTCAAGTCATTTGAAGCTGGTTTTACGGCCACTTTATACCTGTATATTTTGTACAGACCACGTCTCCCTCCTCTCTCATTTTTTTACGATGATGCCTGTTGACTCTATGCTTTTTGCATGCTGACTACCATTTTTCTCTCGTCAGTTAAGGTACAATCTGATTTCGGTGTTCCATGCATGAAACCGCGCAACGATCAAGGCCATTAATAGCATGTCAGACAAGCAGCGATTGGGTTTGCTTGTTTTCAGTCATAAAGGTTAGTCCTATCACAACTGGATAAGCATTTTTCTGTTAAAAGCATGTGCTTAAGAGAAGGACACTTACTCGAAGTTACAGGGAATTGCTGTCTGTATTAATCCCCGGGGAAAGGAGGCGGGGAATATTTTCATCATGTCATCTGCCTTACGAACAGATACTGACGACTCAAGGTTTAGACCGGCAAAAGATTTTAATGTCGGTGGATGAAATGAGTATAGAAATAGGAGACATCAAAGACTTCCACATTGTTAATTATTTGTTACGTTCTATATATGCACTATAATAAAACACGTGATGTAATATTGCACACAAAATAAAATAAATCGATGTTTAATAGCCTGAAAAGCTAGCCAACTTCTGTGCTATTCTGTACGGGATTGTCTAAAACGCATTATAAGTTCTGTCTGTCTCCATTACCGTTGAATCGCTTGGCCTTAATTACACCCTTGGCAGACCACAACTGATGAGGCAGATGTACTTTGCCATATGCCTCTGTTATTATTTTGCCGTTAATAAGAAATTCGTTTCGATTCCGACATATTGACGCAAGCGTATTTAGCAGACGATCACCAGGCGTTAATATGGGATATTCAGTCGATGCCTCGGGCAATCGAAGACCCGATCTTAGCTTACCGAGCAAGCAGCGAAATTAACCAGGTAAAGTATCCGGAAAAAATCCCCATTATTAATGTTAATATTTTTAGGTGCATTGGGCAAATAGTCAGCCCGACTGGATCGCAATCTGTTTTAATAATTGTTTGGAAATTTTACGAGTCTGACAGTCATTGTTGTCGCCTCGCCTCTGATGTTCTGCTTTTATGCACCGACATTATTTTACATTGTACACATTAAATTGGTGCGCTTTTCTATAAGTTTCGCACGTGTTTCTGTGGCAAGTCTGACACCTGTTCATAGCTTACATAGGCGGTTTTGCTTGGGCGATGCTTTTCTTCGACTGATTTCGCGGATCTCTATTTTTCCCCACTAAGGCTAAAAGCATATGCGTGGTAAACGTATTTATTGACATCTGTAAATCGTTACCTGTGATTTTTTGTTCTTTATCAGTTCCCTAGTGAGGGTCAAGTAGTATTCGGGATCCATTGGCAAGTAGTCGAGGTAGCGCGGCGAGTTCTCGTCATTTGCTTTGCCGCTCTCGCTATATTGCGGCGCCGCCGGCTCGATCTGCGTGCCCTCGTGCCATTCGTTGAAGCTGGTCACCGAGATGAGGGGGCTGTG